ACAGTCATGCTCACGTCCCTCTGAAGGAGTTTTTATGATCCTGCTCTGCTCTACACTGGCACAGCATTACATTCACGAGTGGCTGGTATCCTATCTGACATAGAGGGATTTCAGACTGGTTCCAGACAGAGAGGACAGGGTGACTCTGAGTGGAGGTATTTTTCCGAAAGAAAGGATTCCCTGTGAGAGGCTCTTATTACGGTGGAAACCCCCATGATGAGTACAGAGGATTATGACTCACAGAATCATGTCAGTTTGTGTATGAACAGTAGGTGTATGAATGAAACAACTCCCATTACCATCATATAAATATTACGTATGTAAAGACAAAAAAAATTTAAACATTTGTGTATGTACTTTCTGTTTAACTTTCTGTTCTGTGTAGTGACACCATATTTAAATTCACAGTGACTTTTACAGTGACATCATGGCAAATTTTGACCACATGGTTGAAACAGAGTTTTTCTTTGTACTTCTTAGTATTTCCCTATTTCATTGTCTAAACCTAAATTTGAAACTTAAAACATTCAGAATATAACAGGCGAGGCATGACATATTCTAAAAGAGAAATGTCCTTGGCTATTCATATTTGTTTCAGTTATATGAGTGTGATTTATTACTAGGCACACTGAAAATGAAATATAATATATTAATCACACTATAATTATAAATCCTAAAAAAATGTTGATTGAGTTTAAATAATGTACTGTATAGTGCTTTATGATTTGCCTTAGTGTTAAGAATAAATACCTAAAGGCAATTTGCGAGACTGGGTGTTATAGTTTAAGAATTTCCATGGAAAAATAATTATTTGTGATGTACTTTGGGGATGACAAAATCAGCAGTAACCTTTCCTTAAAATAATAGTTTCCTTACACAAAACATTCCATTTCCTGAGAATTACCGATTCAGAGTTCCAGTGAAGTCATGGATTGTATTAGCACAGTATTGGCATATTACAAAATTATTTGTAGTAGGACAGAATAAGAGGATCATTTAAGTGGACCTTAATTACAGTTTAAAGTCATTAGGCTGGATTCTTAAAAGCTGCTTTCTAAACTCCTTTCTCAGTCCAGACCCAGGCAGATTACAAAAGCAAAAAATTAAACAAATAAATCAACATGGTTCCTTCTATCCCTTGTGTGGGCGGGTATCCTACAGAGATCTGTGCAAGAGTTCAGTGAATAATCCTTGATAACATCTGTGCATATGATTCATTATTATACGCTCAGCAAGAAACAGAGAAAACCTCCACTCTTCATAACACATCAGTTGCGATTGCCTGTATAGCATAAGTGAACGACCTAAAACATATACATGAAGATCACAGCTCACAGATGTTCCCCATCCAACCTGACAAAATAGAATTGATAAACAGCACAAATGTACTTGTGCAAATCAGATAGATGAATTCGAGCCATAATTGCTGCCAAAGTCCTATAATTGAATAAATAAAAATATGACCTTCCTGCTGACAGCTGATCAAGATCTGATCAGTCAATACTAATTGATTAACAGGGGTTCAGATTGAGCGGAGAGGTGAAGAAGAAGGGTTATGAAAGGTCAGAAGAACAATTAATAACATTCAACTGGAACATTGAGATTATTTAGTCAAATATATTCTAATATTTTTGTAATCGATCTCAGTGGAGAAATTCAGGAAATATTGCTGCACTATCATAATATATAAAAAAGGGGGTATGTTTGGGTGTGTCTCGGCATTTACAGGGCACTTTAACCGCTGAAGTGCTCTTGTTTATCTGACTTGAGTTGATCTGGGAGTTAAAAGTGGCTCCCTGGAATCCGTCGCCAAGGAAATAAGCAGCTGGAAACACACCAGCACCACTGGGAACATTCTCCAGCTTAAATCTCATAAAGATTTGATACGTCTCTCTGCTGTTGAGCTTAATTCTTGTTTATTGAAATTCATGAATGCTCAGGATTTATTTCAAGGCCTGTACTGCTGAATAATTAAATGTATTCTTTTCTAATCCTCTAAACGTGAACAACAGAGCTCATCATATCAATGAATTTTATCCTTTGCTTTAAGACATAGCAAGTTTGTTTCTGTTCTTGATGTTTAAGAACAAGTTGTGATGAACCTATACTGTGATTATGCACACATTAATTTGTATTAATACACATGATAGTCATATTCAATGTATTGTAAAATAAACAAATAAACTAATTTTAAACTTATTTTAGTTTACCTAATTTCCGAGAAAACATTTCTTTTTCGTTTAGTTTAACTTCATGTACTAAAATAACTAAAAATAAAACTGAAATAAAAATTAAACTAAAATAAAACACTAATATATATATAAGACAAAATCTGGTGAGTTTGCTGGCCAGTCAAGCACACCAACACCATGGTCATTTAACCAACTTTTGGTGCTTTTGGCAGTGTGGGCAGGTGCCAAATCCTGCTGGAAAATGAAATCAGCATCTTCAAAAAGCTGGTCAGCAGAAGGAAGCATGAAGTGCTCCAAAATTTTTTGGTAAACGGGTGCAGTGACGTTGGTTTTCAAAAAACACAATGGACCAACACCAGCAGATGACATTGCACCCCAAATCATCACAGACTGTGGAAACTTAACACTGGACTTCAAGCA